CCCCCTCCGTTCCCTCTTCCCGTGGAGCGGCGCCGCGTCGCTCCCCTCCACCAGCTGCCATGAGCGAGCGCCTCCGCCCCAGGTGAGAGAGAAGAGAACCCCTTCCTCTCCAGCCCCTCGCCTGAGGATCTGGGGGATGGAGCTGAGGGGGCGCGCGAAGAGGGGGTCTGAGCAAGTATGGACCCTGCCGGGCTCCGTCTGGGGTGCTCTGCGGTCCGGGAGAGAGGGATGCGCGACTGATCGGATACCTGGTCCCTGTGGGTAGCTGGAGGGGTGACTCTCCAGGGTCCAGGTCTTCCCCACCTCCTTCTCCTTTCCCTTCCCCGCCCCCGTCTTTTCCTATTTGGGATAATTTCTGCTGCTCGGTCCCGGAATAGGGACGGTGGCCCTACACCTTCCTTGTCCTAAATTGAGAAGGGTGGGGGATGGGGAGAGATGTCTGATCTTGGAGAGGGAGCCCCCTAAGGCGGCTGTGAGGGCACGGGGCGGGGAGCTGCCGGCTCCCCAAGGTCAGAAGGAAGGGTTGGGCTTAACGCTGCAGCAGGAAAGGTTAGGTTAGATTGAAGAACTTCTGGTCTGGACGATTGTGAGCACAGAAGGGCAGATGACCAAGGTGGGTTGTGGATCTTCTCGACCGCAGCCTTAAGAACAGGCAGGATTCTAAACTGGATGCGGAGCCGTTTGACTGCGAAGGCGGGAGGTAGGATTTGCACTCAGTGCCTTCCCACCCAGCCCGGCCTTAGGACCCGGCTCTTAACCTAGGAGTTTTAGGTTTGACATGTACTGAGTAGAGTCTGTATCAAGCTGGAATGCGTTTCCTGTTTTATTTTTCTCCTCTTATTTTTCTCTGCAAGAAGGTAGGGAGGAGAAAGTTGGGATGGGAATGAACAGAATCAGCTTCATTTCAAGTTAGGAAAATCTCTCATCATAGAGCTTGGAGTGAAAGTCTATAGATCACCAAGTCCAATTCTCATTTTTCTGGTGAATCAGATTTAGAGAAATATGTTGATTAACCTTGCCCTTTCCAGGGTCAGTGATCTTTCCTTTATTCCGTAATACTTTCAGGCTTAAGTGAATAAGCTCGATCAGAGGATTTCCTTGGTAGGTTATGCTGGATCTTTTCTAATTTCATGTTTTCATTGGCTCTGAATGAGAGTCTTTCCACAAAGATCCTTCTCAGAAACATATTTCATGGGGTTGAGGTTCTTGAACGCGTCTTGAGGTTATTTGGTCCCGTAGTAAATACCTAGGGTTCCTCAGACTACTGCATTCGATTACTGGTTTGGGTCATGTAGCAAGTGGAGCATAAACCCTTTCCTTGTATAGAAAACAAGAGTGGACTAACTTTGAAATTAGGGCCCAATTACAGATGTCATTGGAATTAGGAACAAGACCTTTAGGTATGTTGTTAAGCCTGATCTGACTGCCATTTTTTTCCTTGCCAACCCGTTTGTACTGCTGATATTCTCTTGGGGTGTCTCACATATCTGAAAAAGTCCAACTATTTTTTACAAATAAAGAGATTGCTTTTATCTGGTACTGCATGTTTTTAATCTGAATATATATTTAATCTTAATATATAATCTGAATATTTTTATACTGGTAGCAGATTCCTTTTATCTGGTTCACAAATAATCTCAACATGTTTCTAATGGTAACTTCTTTGCTCTAAAAGAACTTGATTTGGACAGGCTTTCCTTACCTGCTTTTCTCTTTACTCTGTGTTTCATGGAGTATGAGGTATCAGCTCTGCTAGTTCCAGTTATCTTACTATCTCTAAGTCAGTTCACTTCTCTGGATCTAATCCTCAATTTTAAAATGAAGAGTTGGTCTAAGATGGTGGTTTTTCAGATTGTTCCCCAGTAGACTAGGATGGTCATAGAGAGGTGGGTATTTGGCAAGGAGTCCCTACTTTAACTATAACTGATCCTTTATCTCTTGTATATGTTTTATTTTCCCCCCATAAGAAGAAAAAGTTCCATTACTGTTTTTTAAAAAAGTTTGGAAACCATTTGTCTCCATACTCAAGATTATTTCTGGGCCGGATGGTGGCGCACTGCTATAGTGCGCCGCTTGGGAAGCGCGGTGGCGCTCCCGC